GCATGCTCGACTGCGCAAGCGCACCGATTGTACCAAAACATTTCCAGAAAATAATAGAAATTTAACGTATCTACCTTCACGTTAGAACATTTATGAGAGAACTGTCTATAAATAAATGCTTGAATATATTTGTTGTACATATTTTCCACATTTGTAATTCAAAATTACCTATTTAGCATATTTCTAAGAAGCTGATACTCCTTTCTTATCGGGTGAGACCTTTGCCTAGCTGCAGGACTTTAAAATGTTATGGTTCAGGTTATACCATATAAAATTCTATATAATTGTTTTATTAAAGTTCTTGTTTCCTGAACGAGATGGATAGATTCTTCACGACTCTGGAACGCGCTTCCTGATGCCATTAAGAGACTACCGACTAATCCGTCTTTCAAAAAAAGCGTTCACGCTCACTTTTTATCTTTATCCGAGCAGCGTGCTTTATATTATTCCCAAATTCGTGTATAATTTAGTATATATCATATATGTGTAAGTATATTTGTTATTCATATATATTTATTCGTTTATATATGTAATTTTAGTATATATGTATATCAATAATTAGTAGTACCGCATTCGAGTATTCTGCCACTTCCCTATGGTTGACTGGGAGAGAATGCTTTTAGCATTAAATCCGCCATGTACACATATTTGTACTAATGAATAAATAAAATAAATAATTTATTTGCTTCACTTACAGCACACAAATGACATCAGGTATTGGAACATACTTAAATAATAATAAAAGAATACATATAGAAAGAAAAAAAAAACAAAAGGAAAATACATGAAAGAGGTAGCATACATTTTCGCGAGTGGGCCACAGTAACACAAAATAATCACAACTCAGTTTATTGCTTTGCCCTCAAAAAAGCAAAAAACAATGTATATATATATATATATATATATATATATATATATATATATATATATATATATATATATATATATATATATATATATATATATATATATATATATATATATATATATATATTATATGTGTCACATCTCCCATATTTAGAACTAACAAACTTTTTCATCGTGCCTCCCACCAAATTGTTTATAATTACTCCTCTCCATCCAAAGGTTGCCTGGAAGAGATCGCTCTTAGCGATAAGGTCGCCCATTGTTTTCTCATTGTGATTGTTCCTTGTAATTATTTATATTTATAATAAGTTTACTGTTGTAATCTTTTGGAGGAAACAATAAAGAGTATCTATCTATCTATCTATCTATATTGTGCCCAAAATTAATAATTATTACAAAATAGTATAATGTATTACCGAGAAAGATACGATTACTAAATAATGTCACAATAAAATATTTTACAAGAAAAATAAAAAAAAAATTATGGATCAGTGTTAGATTTAATTTGGATGGTAAATGTAGTTCATAATGTACCTATAGTGATAATTGAGGATAGCGTACAGTATCTAAAATACAAGTAAGTGTATAGCAAATGTTGTTATTGGTATGAGTACACATTAGTGGGGGAAAGGAGTTAGTAATGGAGACCAAGAATCCCATTGCTAGCATTATACCTAGCCAAGTCAACTTTCTCGCGGTTCTCCCTGGAAACTATCATGTTTAGTTCCTTGTGAATTCATCATGATGAGGTAACTGGTATGTTTTCATTCTCATCGATCATCCTTCACTGGTGCTCCGCCAGTGTATCCCGTTAGCGCAAGCGCAGGTTACCATTCCATTTTCACCCATCAAAAAAAAGTACACATTAGCATATGCATGCCTGTATATGTATGTATGTATGTGTATATATATGTATATATGCATATGTTTGTGTATGTATGTATAAAGATAAAGATTTAGTACGTAGAATTAAGATATAAGTTCATAATTGTTTATAAAGCTGTATGTACAAGAGCGCAAAGCTGCGGACAAACTGCAAAGCATATGTATTGTCTGTGTAACTGCTTACTTGAAATAAATAAATAATAAATAACCAATATTCTGTTGTGGCTAAAAGCCAGAAGTCAAATTTCTTAACAAAAAAAAAAAATAAAAGAAAAAGAGGACAAAACGAGTTCTTATAATTTGACAGCTGTCAAAACGGTCCATTTATTTGGACTTCAGATATCATTACATTTCTAGACTCACATTTTAATTGCCTCTTCAAATTATCTGACCAAATGTTGGTTTTTTGTTTTCAGGTAAGCCAATAAATCAAGATCAGAAATTATAAGTATGCAGTCGTCGAGATGTAAAGGTGCGTACACGCGCCATGTCGAGATTTCGAAGTCATTTTCCGAAACGAGTGACCGGCAGATGCGCGCGCGCATCTGCGCAAGGTGCTCACGCACGTGTGCGACCGCCTTTTGTTTTATTTATCTTTCTTCGCCGGAGCTATCTCTGTGGAGATTACTGTGAGGGTCATTTGTGTCCTCTTGTCCTTTACTACCTATGCGTGTTGAATAATGCAGATAGCATTCCAAATTATGGATATCTTGTGCATATGTTATAGGAGCGTACGCTAGATTGTGTAATATTTAACTATTTATTTCTGCTTTATAAATAATTTCTCTGTATAATAAACGTATGAGTGATCTTGTTTAACTGAGCTGTATATTTGAATTATTAAAGCGTGGATTTTTCAATGTTATAGAGCTATTGCCAGTAGTCTTCCCAAATACAATCAAATCTTTGTCAGAAGCTAGATAGTCGCGTACAGTTTAGTTTCATACATTTCATTCAGATCGTGGAAAAAAATGACGATTTAAAAGTGTTTGTAAACAAGTTTATTTAAATAAAGATGCACTTAATTTGAATTTAGAATGAGCATCTTAAGGTTTTATTCAAATACCACTGTATGAGGGGGAAAGGGATTGTTAGTGATGGGGTTTAACTAACCCATTGCCAGCAATACCCCCAATCAGGTTGACCTCCACGTGGTTCCCCCTGGAAACCATAGTGGTTAATTGATAGTGGAATTCGTCATGATGGGGTAACTGATCTGCCTTTTCATCCTCACCTGTCATTCCTTATTGGTGTCCCGCCAGCGTATCCCGAGAGCGCGGGCGGGATTACCATTCCATTATCACCCATTAAAAAAAAAGTACACATTAGCATATGCATGTCTGTATATGTATGTATGTATATATATGCATATGTTTGTGTATGTGTGTATGTATAAAGCTAAAGATTTAGTATGTAGAATTAAGATATAAGTTCATAATTATTATATATGTATATCTTATTTTATGTAGTAAAGACCTTAAGCATGTTAATTTTAAGGAGTAAAACATACTCCGTTATAAAAATGAGGCGCAATGCTTTACTCATGTAACAATAAACAGCTAGGTCCAATATACTGTCATTGACCGCTTTCAATCTGGTTCCGCGAGGTCGTAACAAGGACGCAACCCCTCCTCTCGAAGGCTGCTAGAACATGTCTCAACTTGTTTATGTGTAACAGTTTTTAGTGGACACCTTCATAACGACTCCACATAACATCCGGTAGGCCATAGATTCCCAAACTATTTTGGGCAAGAGACCTCTTTTACAAAATGAACTAATACCTCAGACCTTCATAGCCTAATTATTTTAAAAATCCTATCTCTAGGTCTTATCCTGTTGATACAAAATAAGTACCACTTTAAAATTTTTGCAGTTGGTTAAATGAGTAAACTTGTCATCATCATTTTCTCGTCAAAATCTAACAACATGGTACAGCTCATGTCTATAGGCGACGGTTACCACTGTCCATCAGGTGGGCCGTCAGCTTGTTTGCCATTCTAAGTTGCATAAAAAAAACATAAAATATCAAGTGTAATTGAGAATTACCAATACAAATTACATAACAATACTTAAGTAGGTAATTGTATTTAAAAAAAAAAAAACATTAAAATCGCAGAGTAAAAATAAAAAAAAAAAATTATACGAATGTACGTTAATCGACCTGTCAAGTTTTTTAAAAGTACAAAAATAATAATTCCTACTAAAATATTTGTCATTCTTATAACAAGTTGGTACATAACTTATACGACATCTTGAAAGTTTCAAATAAGAACTCGAGTTAATTAATAAGGGTCGATTTTTGACTTCGTCGATTACCAAAATCAGTTTTCGTTTATGTCGACCCCTGAGAAACTGACTTGACCCCCAAGTGACCGATATCGACCACTTTGGGAATCCTTGCGGTAGATTATTCATAAACTTATATACCGGAATAAGTTCCATGTCGAGGTTTTGCCAAGAGACTACATCATGGGGTTCTTAAAAAAAGTAGTAAAGAGGTTTCTTCAGGGTTGACATGCGTAATGCCCCTGGTATTACAGGCCATTCTTGTTTCAACCGTAAAGCAGTTGTGTTTGCATGGCTCTGTTTCGGTTTGAAGGGTGGGATATGGCTTGAATTTACTGGGTACGGAGGAATAACACCTGAGTCCTCAGGAATGGCAACGCATGGGGGGTATCATAGGCGAAACAGTATACTCTGTTATGTCCATGGCACTGCTCATGTCTATAGACGACGGTTACCACTTTCCATCAGGTGGGCCGTCAGCTTGTTTGCCATTCTAAATTGTATAAAAAAAAACTAATATCAGTCTAGTACATTTTTGCTAATCGTATCTATCGAAGTATTTATTTATTTATATATTTATGGGTGGTAGAATTAACCCTCTTATTCATAAAAACTAAAACCTATAAATCTACTTTAACTATTTCACTGTTTTGTCTCTTTCAAATTGGGAATTAAGTGTAAAGAAAAGGGACAAAACAGTTCAATAGCTAAAATAGGTTTATGGGAATTTTGTTCGTTTTATGAATAAGAGAATTAATCTACATCAGTATCAGATAATTGGTCATGTATTGAAGTAAATCTTAAGTTACATTCAGCTCATTAAGTTATAGAATGATATTTTAATAAATTATACATTTTTGCTTAAATCATCACCATGATATCAACCGTTAATTGTCCACTGCTGGACATAGGCCTCCCTCAGAGGGAGAGTTTTGCCAATAGTTGCCACGCTTAGCAGCCGGGTTGGCAACCGCAGTTAGGCTTTGGTTGTGTTTTAAGAGAAACGCTACTACCAGTATTTTGAGCATTAAGTCCCATTATTCGTCTCTGTCACTCATGGGAAAGGAAAGGATGGTCCATTCTATTGCACGAACCACACATGGGCACTTGTCGTGCTATAACAATATATAATAATAAAAATATCTGTACTCCTCACATGCTGTGTATTTGCACAGTTTCATGACTAGTTTTTTGCGCAAACATGAAATCCATCGTCAGTGTTTGACATTAAATATTATTATCGTAATGCAGCGGCCATTTTATATTATGTCGCCGCGGCCTCGCTGGCGGGTAACCGCGGCGGGTAACGCGGAACGAGGCGGCGGGGCGACGCGTCCGCTCGGCGGCGGTTCCCGCGCATTTATTACGCAACAGCGGTTCAATGGGGGCCAACATATCTGCTGCAATGGATTTCGATACGGAGAAATTCATAGAGGAAATAAAGAATAGACCTGTCCTTTGGGATTTTAACAATATACATTACTTCAATAAAGAACTGAAAATACAGAAATGGGCTGAGCTGGTGAAGATATTTGGAAACGAAAATATGACTATTGAGGACAGTGTGAAATGCCGTGAGTAGTTTTAATGATACTTTTGGACCGTATTTTGTTTGTTTGTTCCGTATTTTGTTTGTTTGTTCCATATTTTGTTTGTTTATTCCGTATTTTGTTTGTTTGTACTGTATTTTGTTTGTTTGTACTGTATTTTATTTGTTTGTACCGTATTTTGATTGTTTTTACCGTATTTTGTTTGTTTGTACTGTATTTTGTTTGTTTGTACCGTATTTTGTTTGTTTATTCCGTATTTTGTTTTAGTTTGTTCCGTATTTTGTTTGTTTGTTCCGTATTTTAAATTAAAACATACATGATCAATTTAACGTAAGAAATATAGTTTAATATTAATTATTTTATGACTAGCAAAATAGAATTTTTTTTTGCGGAACAAAATGTAGGTGCAGTAAAGTAGGTAGATCTTTCAAACTAGGGTAATCACAGAATATTTAATAGTACATACTTTTGCTTGAATCTCTCGTATGTCTATATATAAAACAAGGTCTTATTATCTAATCTAGCTAGGTCTTTAATGTAATCGTGCTAATTTTTTTAATGCAACTTCAAATGGTAAACAAACAATCTTATTTTTATTTCTATTAATCTTTTTTATTACAATAATTGTTTTGCGGCTCCGCTTGCGTGAATTATGATGAAGAGTATTATGTCCTAATCCAGTGTTAAGTCTATCTTTGGATGAAATTTCATTTAAATGCGTTCAGTCATTAAAACGTGATTGTATAACAAACATCTAAACAAACAAATATCTTTGTGAATACTGAAATGAATGTGTTTATTTTTTTTTTTTTATTTTAAAAGGTACATCAACATTGTAAATACAGACATGGATTTCAATTGATATTCAGGGTTTGCATCTTGCATTTACACCAATTACAGATGCACGCAACATTCTCTTTAGACATCGATTTAACATTAATAAATGTAACACTAACAAAACAAATAAAAAAATTGTCATACTAGTGACAACATAAGAATACTAAAGTAGAATTAATAAAATAACTATTAAAACAGCATCATGTACACAGAATCAGGTAAATATTAATAATATTAATTATGGAATTCAGGATAAATATTATGGGAGAATGTTTATTGTCACATAACGTCTTAATGGTATGAATTAATATATATATATATATATATATTGAAAATTTTGAAATAGAAAAGGGCATAGGCTTTTGTCCTGATGGGTTACTCTTGAAATAAGAGACATTTTGCACTCTCGAATTGCAACACTAGCGACATAATGGTTCCATATTGTTCTGATAGATGCATATTAGTATAACTTGTGAATGCAAACTGTTGTAAATCGATTTTAATTTTAACTTAGTTACTATTTTTTTTTCAATGGATGATAATGGATTGGTTATCCCGTCTGTGCTAACGGTATACACTGGCGGGGCACCAATGAGAGATGATAGGTAAGAATGAAAGGGCATGCCAGTTAGCCCGTCGTGATGAATACACCGGAAATTAAGCACGATGGTTTCCAGGTTTTTCCAGGCAAGGAAGGTGTATTGCTTGCAATGGGACTGATAGTCCATATTACTAACAATCCCTTTCCCCTAAAATTCTTAACTATTGTTTTATGAAAGTAGTATAAAATTGACATTGGCAGTAGATTGATTTGATATTGATATTAGATTCAAAAGTAGACCCACTGGTCAAGTTTTTAAAATCGCTATAAATTTTATTTACTCGTATTTTAATACAAAAATATATATATTTTTTAATAACCATGTAACATTTCAGGCAATATTTTACAAAAGAAATGGAAGAATATACGGGATCAGTATATAAAAGATTTAAAATTATTGGAAAAACATAAACGTGGTTTAATCACCGGCAGAAGGCGATGCTATGTATATTTCGACCAGTTACACTTTCTGAAAGAAACAGTTATGATTACCACTAAGAGACGATTTGTAGATACTGCAGACGATGATAATGGCAGTGTTACTAATCAAGAAATGGGACTACCATCAAGTTCAGATGACGCACCTGTAAAGAGATTAAAAAATGATAAAAAGATTGAAAGAAACAAAGCGAGAGAAGTGGTAATACCAAATAAAATAATGGAGCAAGATTGTGATGTTATTGATGAAAGAGATGAAGACAGATTATTCCTTCTATCCTTGGTGAAGGAATTTAAAAAGATTCCCGAGGAAAGGAAAATGGATGTGAAATGTGAAATAATGAGTTTGATAAGAGATGTTCAAATGACCCCTGTAAACTGTGCAGTAAAAAAGGAAGAGGACACTGAATCAATATACATAGAGGAAAATATACTTTGACGCTTAAAGTTACAGTATTTATGACTTATATTGAATTCTAAAAAGATTGCAAAAAAAAGAAATCTGAAACCAAAGTGAAAATGAAGAGATGACTGATATGTATAAATTAATCTGTTTAGATAATAAAACAGTAGTCTGAGAACATCTTTAGAAGAGCACCACGCCCATTAGTGGGACAATAACATATTAGATTTATATATGCACGTAATCTGTTGTAATATAACTTCATGAAAATGTAAAAAAATAATAACTGACTATAAGATAGTCAGCTGATGTGAAATAGTGATACAAGTAAAAAAAAAAATGATTAAATTTATCGATTAGTCCCTAATCTCATTTAGAGAGTGGTTCTATGATAATTGCAACAAAATTTGGTTACTTTTTCATTAAGTTATATTAAAAAAGACTACATGCATGGAAACAAAACAAAATGTTATAGTTTTTATATTATTATTAAAGTTAATTTTTTAAATAATCTAGATATATCATATTCACGAGTTTTGTTTTACGTAAGTACGCTATACCAAGTCTTCGGTTCTACGTTTATCGTAGGTTGCAAATGCAAAAAATCGTCCTTATCATGCTAAACCCATATCCAACTTATAAAAGCTTAGGCCATATCTTGTTTAAACGGAACAAAACCGTGGGTTACAGGTAGTAAACTAATAGATAACAACAACAATACCCGGAACGTATTATCGTATCTTTTAAAGTGTCTATGCATTTACATATTTCACCAGTCCTTTGTGACGAAGATTTACAATCTTTCAAATCATTAACTTCTATTAATTTTTGTTATATTACAGCGTAACATGTCACAACTTGTTCTTAAACGGTTAACATTATTTCCAAGGCTTTAAACTAGCAAACAGGTGTGCCTTTATTAATATGTAAGACACGTAGCTTTTACAAAGCAATGTTTAATATCAGCGATTCTAGTAATACAGCCATGGTGTTGATTAGGTAGTATCGATGCAATTTCAATAACATTTGCTTTTAAATTGCATTCTAATACGCCAAGGGTCAAGCTAGATATTTAACTTTAGCGACTATATTATTTACATACAAATTTAAAATGTTAATCTATTTCTATTAATTTTGTTGAATTTAGTAATTATACAAGGATATATTACATAAGTATTGATGAAGATAATGTTGAAAGTGGATGTAGATGGTTTTAACCCTTTCAGTGCCATTGATTTTTACTCATATCTACTTAAAAATGCCAAAGAAATCTTTGTCGTGTTGATGTCATTTACCCTTGTCTCTAAAAAAAACTGTATCTCCTCCAAAAATTATCCAATTTTAATATTTTTTTACAGCAAGCTAGAAAGCGACTGATTTTTCGAGCGCTATGACGCTCGTGGCACTTTTAGTTACAATGCGCACGAGCGCGATGGCGCTCGTCGGCACTCAAAGGGTTAAATATAAAAAGCGAAGTTTGTAAAAGATGGGATGACCAAAAAAACAACTGAATGCTGAGACGACTGTAAATAAAAATGTACAGAAGTACGTCGACCTCAAAGAGATAGAGACAGAGAAGAGAAATTTGATAATATATTATTCGTTCTTATCCAAAACAAATAGACTTTCACTCTGAATCTGGAAAATAGTTTCCAATGCATCAGTAGTATGTGGTAGAGATCTGGTGATGTATTTATTGTGAGGAATGAAGTAAATGAAGAGCTGTATCGGTGGCACCAATTTCTCTCAAATTTGAGATTTTACATAGTATCAAATGCTTGAGATTTCGAATGAGATAGAAAACTTTTTACAGATCGTTAAGATGACCACACGAAAATATAAATGACAGTTATTTTTAAACTTTTCGAGGTTTTAATAAAATGGTAGCAGAATGGGAGTCAATGCGAAAATGACTGGGAATAGAAAAGAATGGAAGAGGAAAACATATTACGCCGACCACAAATAATAATTGGGATAAGCGTAGGATGAAGAAGTTTTGGGTAACAGAGTAATATCAAAATTCTCGTAAATCGTTATAATTATGAGAATTATTAACAATAGGTATAGAAATAGCAGTAGATATAGAAATTTAGTTATACAGTATTAAATTATGCAGATTTCACCCTAGAACCGTGAAGACACGAACTGTTAACTCCAAAGGTTTTTTAGTCAACAAAAAACTATGAACTTATACTATTTCTAAACATAATAATTATTCACGTTTCATTATTTTATCTCCACAAACCAAACTGACGTTTGCAAAACCTGATACATCTGTATAAGTTAATTTTTTGCACAGTTGTCGTTGACCATTATACGCGAACTGTTTTTGTTGAGAACCGACCAGACATCTGTGATCTTCCCTCCCTCTTTTGCAGTGTAGTTCAGGCGAACTCAGATGAGGTTTCGTAAGAGTGGCCAAGGGTCTAGCTGACCGGTCGATTAAGTTGAGGCGAATGGACGACCTTGCCGTGTTAGTACGTTCGGAAATAACTACGTGTTTGATGTAACTGCACTGCAGTTGAGTGGCGCTTTGGTTGAAGCAATATAATTAACGTATCATTGATGTCTAAATATTTAAAAGAGGTGTAGCTATTTGACACTTCATTGTACTAATAATATATAGTTGATTCATGGGAGTAGATAGGAGTTATTGATAAGTAATCTCTTACAGTATGCAAAAGCTTTAGGTTACTCAGCGAGCTATGGAGAGAGCTATGCTCGGAGTTTTTTTTTTATACATCTTAGAATGGCAAACAAGCTGATGGCCCACCTGATGGAAAGTGGTAACCGTCGCCTATAGACATGAGCAGTACCATGGACATAACAGAGTATACTGTTTCGCCCATGATACCCCCCATGCCTTGCCATTCCTGAGGACTCAGGTGTTATTCCTCTGTACCCAGTAATTTCATGTTTTTCAAAACTTATTCAGATATTTGCATCTAGTATTCGCCAATCTTATATTGCAGAGCTGATGGTGGAAGACACAACTTCTAAGCGAATAGCCAAGCACATTTTATCCTTTAAAAGTTTAATATCAGTTTATTTTTCACTTTTTGGTTTTTGTTTTTTTTTTCAAGTCTGTTTATTTTGTTTAAAACAAAAAAAATTATACCCATGTGTTATTTTAAACTGTTGTCGTCGTGAGAATTAATATTAAAACTTTATAATTGATTTTTATTTTCCAAAAAACAATAAATTTACTAACAGGTGATTGTTACCTTTTCTCTTTAGAGTGCCGTCAGCTAGTTTGTATAAAACATTTGGGTTCCGTAGCTAATTTGTTTCCAAAGTGGTGTATTGTCTATCAATCAACGGTCCCCTCTACGTTTACCTATCGAAATTGCGTTCAACAAATTAGTTACACTTGGATGAATAACCAAAGCTATATAAATAACAATAAACAGTTTCGGAGATCAATGCATACAATAAGGTAAACAAACACAATCCGTTATTATAATAATGGTAGCTTTTAACTGCTAAAAGACAAAGTGTCTATTGTCTATGTACAGGTGGAGAGATGAAATGGTTACACAAAAGACTCCTGTGTGAATTAGGCGTTACGAAATGGGAATTGTAAGTCCTTGTAAGGAAACGTTTACATAGACGGGAATCCTGAGGATGAATCGGCAAATGTAGTACTTAATTTTTTTTATTCGTATTTAGCTGATTTCAGTAAGGGTGGTTTTTTTTTTAAATATTTAATTAGTATATTTTCAGACTTCATTCAGGATACATACTGCAATCGCAGTTTAGTCAATCGAAGCTAGCACTAATGATTTATATATTTTTTTATACAACTTAACGGCCCACCTGATGGATAGTGGTAACCGTCGCCTATAGACATGAGCAGTACCATGGACATTACAGAGTATACTGTTTCGTTCATTATACCCCCCATGCGTTGCCATTCCTGAGGACTCAGGTGTTATTCCTCTGTACCCAATAAATTCACGCCATATTCCACCCTTTAAACCGAAACACAGCCATGCAAACACAACTGCTTCACGGTTGAAACACGAACGGGACAGAGGTACCCAAGCAATCGACTTTTGTACAAAGTCTCCCTCTTTCTTTTGTATTTAAAAAATAATAAAATAAACGTAGTTTATTTCGATGTTAATTTTGTACTTTATTATAAACTTTTATGTTTTACTTTTATTATATGAGAATTCATAAGAATTCATTATCATCATCATTTCAGTCTCTGTCCACTGCTGGATATAGATTCTAATGCTTTCTACTACGTGCGATCCTTTGCTTTTCGCATCCATCTATTTCTAGCCGTATTCTTAATATCATCAGTCCATCTAGGAGGGCATACCACGCTGTGTCGTCCTATACGCGGCCTCCACTTTAAAATCCTTCCTACCCCCATCTACTATCAACTCAACAAATACGGGGGGAAAGGGATTGTTAGTAATGGGATCAAATAGCCCCATTACTAGCAATATACCCTGTCAGACTGACCTCCACGTGGTTCCCCCTGGAAACCATCGTGGATAATTCTACTTAAATTCGTCAGGATGGGCTAACTGACCTACTTTCATCCTTATTAGTCGTCTATCACTGATGCCCCGCCAGTGTATACTGATAGCACAGACGGGGTTACCATATCATTATCACCCATGAAAAAAAGCTCGACAAACCACTTCAGCTGAGAGTTTTGAGAGCTTTGTCAGTCATTTGATTTCTCCGTCGAATTTCCTCGTTCTGGATCACCTCCCTAAAAGAAACTCGAAGATGAATATTATTAAGATTGAAATTTAATATTTATAGTTTTTTTTATTTGTTCCAAATCTTTAGTGTGAACAGGTCCTTATTTACAGTAAGTGAGACACCCTAAAATTGCGTGCCCGTAAAAAATAATATGGCGGTCCGTTTGTCACAATGCAAACGTAGGGTGTGACTAACGGTGATTGAGGTGGCTCGGGTTCGATTCCGGCGAAGTAATGTTTATTATTGAATTGTTGTGTTCGCTTGATGGGTGGCAATTTTGGATTGAAAAGTGTAAGCGTAAAATTGGTAATATTTTACTATTTTTTTTTTATTGTTAACTTATTTCCTACTAGCGACCCGCCCCGGCTTCGCACGGGTGCACATTACATTATATCACATTAGAATCCTCTAAAATTATTAGTATTTCTCTTCAATATTATGCATGTATTATACATATAAACCTTCCTCTTGAATCACTCTATCTACTGAAAAAAACCGCTTCAAAATCCGTTGCGTAGTTTTAAAGATTTAAGCATACATAGGGACGGACAGACAGCGACAGCGACTTTGTGACTTTGTTTTATACTATGTAATGATTATACCTAATTGAGTTTAATATATATATATATATATATATATATATATATATATATATATATATATATATATATATATATATATATATATATATATATATATATATATATTTATTTGTCTATGTTATATACTTAATTTTTTTATATAAGCAAAACTTAAATCGTGTATTACGAGTATTAATGGAAAATATTATTTGGCAACATAGCG